TTGTACAATAAAGTTAATTGTACTACAATTTGGTCATCGATTGCATTCATTTAACAATCCAGCGATACGAACCGAGAAATTTCGGAAATCCGGACGAGGTTTCAAGGATAATCGTAACATTGGCCCGTAGTCATAGTCAAAATAAAGTCGACTTTAAAGTTAGTTGCAGCTTTTTGACATAATTTTCAATGGGATATCTGTCAAAAAAGCTGCAACTAACTTTAAAGTCGACTTTATTTTGACTATGACTACGGGCCATTATTTTCTAGCTGTTGAAATTTTGACGCCATCTTTGTTGTAAGAAGTAAATAACGAAAAGAACGAATAAAACCGCGTAATTGTTGAACGCATAAATAATCATTTTTATTGTGTAAATTCTTACATAAATCATGTCGTGGTGTTAAATTATGCTTTACTTTATGTGTACACGCAATGTCGCAACCGAAAATGAAGACAATTTGCAGTAAAAAGCCACCACCAAATTGTAAACAACGAACAAATGTCCGTTGGGCTCTGTCACACGGTCAGTAGTTATCACTAAGGTGTGGTTGACAATTCAGTGCGGCTCTCTTTTAAGGTACTATTAGGTGCAATCCCGTATTCCTCGGACTCGGACTAGTAAAACTGTCAAAAAATAAAAATTCGCTCAGAGCGAGAGATTAACATTGAAAAGTACGGGATCGCTTTCTAGTAAAAAATTGTAACTTCTGTCAACTTCAACATAACCTCCAAATTTTGGTTGTAAATTTTTGCTTATTTTGTATGTAAACACACTCATCTCACACATGTAAATAACCAAAAATATTTTCAAATTCATTAGAATCCACTTAAACAAGTAATTAAATACTTTTTAACATGAATTAGCAGATTGAACTTTTCTTTTGTTTACAATTTGGTTGCCAAACACACTACAGCTGATCGTTTGACACATTTACCAGAATTTACCAGCAAAAAATTCTCGGACTAAAACTGGTAACTTCTGACAGAGAGCGCTGTATTTACTCCCTTTTTTGTCCTCTCAATAGTCAGAGAACCGAGTACGGGATCGATTTCCTGTAAAATCTGACTGATTCTGACTATTTCTGACTAGCCCGGACTCGTACGGGATCGCAACTAGTATGTCAAAAAGTATAAACAAACGAATTAACCCTTAGTTTTGCATGCATCGTGTTAGCACTGATGCCCTAGGCTTTTATTTCGATTATGGTTTTGTTTTACTTACATTACCTGGAATATATATGTTTTGTCAATAAAATAAAACAAATTGTTTATAGAATAGTTTTAGCAATTTTCTTGTTTTTAATTACCCAAGTTTTATGCTTTTGTGCATTTATTTTTATATTTAAATTTTGTATCCTAAACAGTATTCGACAGTTATAAAAGTAGGATTTTACATTTGTTTCCAATTTTATATGTGAGCTTAACTCTAACAATTTCGAAATTAAATTTTTTTCGAGATAGTTTTCCATTAAAGACTTTGCTTCGAGCAGTTTTAAATTAAGCTCTTCCATACTTGCTTGCATGGTTTTAATTATTTCGATAAGAAGAAATGTTTCTGTTCTCAACGTGCATTCTAAAGAGTCGCCTGTTTTAGTTTGGAGATCAACAAAGAATGTATCCTGATCGCGTTCTAAATCCTCACTTGTATCAGTTATTTCGTATGGCATTGGGACTGCGCCTGGGTGTAAACGAGCTCGTTTCAAAGTGCTTGATTCGGACGGACAATTAATGAAATCACTTTCCTTGAAGTGGTTTTCACAAACGCGAGATGAATCACGTAGTAAAACACCACAGCTTTCTTCCCATCGCTGCCGTCTTAATTCGCAACTAGGTGGTTTAAAACATCGCACTATTTTCGTGTCCTGACTTTTATTGCATACAGCGCACCGTTCAAACGTTTTGCTCCGTCTCATCTTGGCTTCCTTACATTAAATATTTAAGAAAATTCGAACGTATTTACTTATTACCCAACTTTAAATGTACTTACTTGCTCTCCTCGGCGGTTTATCTCTTAACAATTTCACGTTTATTAAGAAAATTTGTTGCTTGAAAAATTTGTGTGTAACTTTTTGTTAAACAAATTCAAATTTGAAAAAAAAATTCAAATGGGTCAAGAATTCATTTCAGTTTGACATTATAGCCTGTTTCTTATGAGAGCAATGTCAAAATCAATCACACTTTGTTGAATACATTTTGGTTATCACGATATTTGGATCGCGATCCATATTGATGGATAGATGGATCGCGCACGAATGCTACATGTTCAATATTTATCGCGTCAGTATTTGCATAATTTTTGTGCTGAAGGCTTATTATGACGCAAGAAAATATTTTTATTTTGTATGAATAATTTACAGATAAGGCATTCTAAAATTATTTTAAAATCGTCAGTGTTAGTTAAAATGTTTTCAATTTGTTTTGAAAGGTTTTAAGCACCGGTAGCGAAGGCATAGCAATTCCCACGACAGCCGGTTCTACGTACCGGAATGACTCGGGTTTTACCCGACCAAGGACTGTTGTTTCGGCGATCTAACCCCGTTTAGGTCGGCGAAATCCATCCGACGTTGCTCAATCCTAGGGCTACACCTTCTCCGCACCCTTCTGCTCAGGGCTGGCATAGAGTCAAACCCAGGGCCAGAAATCTACACCTGCTGCGTATGCCAGAGACGACTGCATACAAACTCCACCTCGGTCAGGTGCAATGCCTGTGACGGGTGGAGTCACCTCCGTAACTGCTCGGGCCTGCGTACGCACCGGCAATGGACCACGTCGTTCGTGGCCCCATGTTGTGCGAACCGGACCGCCTCCACGGCAAACCACCACCCGCCTGGGCAGCACACAATCAGCACACCCACACCCCAATACAACACAGCAATAGACACACAAACAAACACAATAGCACCCACACACCGCCGCCGGCAACTCCTAGTCCCTCCGATAATCTGCTCTGTTCGTCAGTCCAGAGTATACCGTAACGTGACATCAGTCAAGTGCAACTCTTGCCTCGGCTGGTGGCACGTTAGGGCGTGCTCACGACTTCGCAACACACGAGATTGGACGAGTGACTATGTGGGCCCCTGCTGTGCTGCCCCGTCGCATCCCTCCCCCGTGACGCCGCCAACCACCACCACAAGGCAGCACCCCCTTTTGCAGCACGTACAGCAGGGGGCCGGCAGGCAACACAACTCTTTAACACCACACATCACAATCGGTCTCCCAAGGCAAACAAAGGTGCTACAATTTAACTGTAACGGACTCCAGAGCAAGATCGAGGAGATAACTGTCTTTATGGGAAGGCATGGAATATTAATAGCTGCGGTCCAAGAGACGAAGTTGCACGGCAATTGAACCCTGTTGAATTGCGCCGGATACAACGTGCACCGTCGAGATCGCGAGCGAGATAATGGTGGAGGTTTATCGCTCACCACGTACCACACCGTGCAGTATCGTCTCATTGAAGCAGACATCGACCGCAGGGATACCATCCGG